CCGCAAAATCTCTGAGAGGAACGATTTGATAATATTGGACTGATGCCGATGCGAAATTGTTAAGGCAGAAGAAGTAAGGAAGAGGAGAGAGTTTTCTAATAAATCTCCAGTTTTTTTTTTGTGTTTTGTAATTTTGTTCATAAATCTGAATTTAAATACGAAAATTATTTTTCCGATTTTTAAAAAGGTTTTTTTGTTCCTCCTTAAAACCTATATAAATAATATTTAATTTTTTTTATTTTGATGGGAAGAAGAAGAGTTACGTATTGCTCTCGCAATTCGAGAAAAAGGATAAAACGAAATTTCGTGTATATGATTTTAGTTATATCCAAAAGTATATATAAATTCCAAATTATATAAACTAAAACTGCAATTTGCACACAAAAGAAATTAAAAAGTAGCGATATCTCTTATCTAAACTCTGTAGAACAAAGAAGAAAGGAAAGTAACACAAATAGAGGATTTTTTGTTTTTGTTTGTCGATTTGGACGTATAACTACAATTTGATCTTATCCTCAAAATCAAACATGACAAATCATCGTAGTAAGTTTAGTTCTCAAGTCTCAACAAGTTTTACATGGTTGTTTTTGGTTCTAAAAATAGTACTAAACAAAGGGACAAATCTGCATTATCTGTAGGTAGAAGATAAAGAGAGTTATTACCCCAAGTTGTAGGAGTGAGTAGCGGTTGGCAGATGATAAGTAGATAAGGTTCATATATCGTCCTCATTTATCTTTTTTTACCTTTCTGACGAGGCAGGCGGATGATATCTGTGACCAACCCCAAGAACAACTTCCTTTTACAAAAAAAAAAAAAAAACCCCCAAGAACAACCAATTTTAAAACAGATCACTTGTATCAATCAACAACATTGTATCATTATCCATTACTTATTCCTGTATTTAAAGTTTTACTACTAAAAAATAATGCACCGTCTTATGTTGGAGATTAAGACAGTGTTTCCAATATTCATGTGTGGTCGGAGGATTCTAAAACACTGGAATGTGGAGGTTATGTCTCCGTCGGTCAACTTAATTAAAGCCGAAGCAAACACGGATGACTTTTTTAGTTACCACTTACTTGGGTACTAGTGAATAAGTGATGTAGCCCTGTCTGTCTTGTACGTGTGTATTAGGGGTTTTACGTTTTATTTCGGTTTTGGGCTTTTTCATTTATATTGGGCCTTTGTATTATGTCCCCCTCCAAATCCAATCTATTCAATTACAAACGGTGTGTAGTACGACGAAAAGAGATCGTTTAAACTTACCTTCGTCGTAATTTATTTTAACGAAACAAAAAAAAATGGTTACGCAAAATGTGATCAGTCCATTGCTAACCAGTTGTTTGGATATTGGATATGATTCCTATACTAGATGATATCTGTTGTAAAATATATTACTAAAGTTTACTTATAAACATATATGTGGAAATTTCTGTTGATGAAAAAGTTTCTTACGTGAAATTATAGAGCCTATTTTTATTGCCAACACTTTAATTTGAAAAACAAAGATTCACTTTGACATAATATTATGTATTCATAGAGTATTGCACTTTATGAAATCAGTCAAGTATTTTTTACAAAACTTGTAACGAAAAAAATTGAAATCATTTAGTGTTTTTTTTTTTCATTTGGAGCTTCCCAAATACGTTAATCAACAAAAATATATATAAAAAATTACGTTATGTTTTCGTTGTAAAGATATTCTAAAAATGATATCTATATATATAGTCTTAATTTTGTTTTATATTTAAACAAAAACCAAAATATATTATGTCTTTATGTAAGAATTTTGGTCTCCCATTAGATTTACAAAAAAGAAAGAAAGAAAAAGCCAACAAAACAAAGAAAGGCTCCAGAGAAGAATTTGAATTTTGCAATAATACAAACATTTTTTTTTCATTACTACAGCTTTGCACTAACAACAACAACAACGCGGTCGCTTTATCATTTTTAATCATCTCTTTCAAATCAAAAGCTTCCATTTTTCTCACTTGAGTCCTCCTCTCAAATTCAAAATTCCAAAAGCTTCTCTCTAGTGTTCTCTCATAGATTTAGGGTTTCCCATGGATTCACCTCACAACTTCACTCCTCACTTCCTTCTCCTCTCTCTTCTCCTCGTCTCAATCCCTCTTTCATCATCTCAATCCAACGCCACCACTACTAACCCGCCACCGTCGCCACCGTCAGATTCGGATCTATGCAACGGCGTATTCGTCTCCTACACTTACACGAAAGGATCTAAGATCCCTCCCAACGACACCAAGAACCAACCCTACCGGTTCGAATCTGTGATAACCGTGCTTAACCACGGCCGCGACGAGCTCAAATCATGGCGTGTCTTTGTCAAATTCGCGCACCAAGAGATCCTTGTGTCTGCATCCAACGCTGTACTCTCAGACGGCTCGAGCCTCCCGTTGAGCGTCGAAAACGGCACCGTCTTTGCTGGTTATCCTTCGTCGGATTTGAAATCGGCTATTCAGACTGCCGGTGATGTTACTCAGATGCAAGCTCGTGTTGAGCTCGTTGGGACTCAGTTCGGAGTTGCGCCGCCGAATGTGCCACTTCCTAAGAACATCACTCTCGCTACTGATGGATGGAAGTGTCCTAAAGCTACTCAAAAAGGTTAAATTTTTTCTCAATGTGATTAATCTTAGTTTCTGACATGTTTTTGTCTCTTTAATCTTGAAATTTTACTTCTAGTTCCTTGATTTAAGGCTCAATACTCTCTTTTGGCTGATCTTGGTTTTTGCTATATTTAGGTGTTTTGTTTTACTGATCTTTTGTTTTCCTATGTTAAGGATGAAGTATCCAGTGTAGATCCCTATAATCAAGCAGGAATTTAAGATTTACTAGAGATAGTCAAACTCCAGCAACAATCACATTGTTTTTAAGTCCCATGTGCACACTCGTGGATAGAGAGTCTTATGTTTGTTACTTGGTAGCTTCCCTTTTACACCTAATGTTTGAATTAGTCAACTGGGGGAGTCTAATAATTGAATTCGTAGCAACACGCTGGGATCTTTGTGATTTATCAGGATTATGAGGTACATGCCTTAAGATCTTCTGCAGTGGTAACATAATAGCCAGTTTATGAATCGGCTATGTATGTGTTTGCTTATGTAGAGAATCGTGGTATTGTTCTTTTTGTCTATTGCTTTCTTTGTGGTGTACTTGAATTTTGTGTGTTTTCTCTCTGTTTGACCAGGTAAAAATGTTCTGCAAGTATGTTGCACGCCGGACCCAGACTATGATAACACAGACATCATTGATAATAAGTACCTTCCCCGACAAGATGGAGACCTCACTATCATGTATGATGTGGTCAGATCATATTCATCGAATTATATGGCACAAGTTACGATGGAGAACCATAGCCCGCTTGGTCGGCTGGATAACTGGAAACTGAGTTTCGACTGGATGCGGGATGAGTTTATCTACACCATGAAAGGGGCTTACCCAAGTGTTGTTGATTCATCACATTGTGTTGATGGCCCACAAGCCAAGTACTATCAAGATCTTGACTTTTCTAACGTATTAAGCTGTGCAAGACGGCCAACCATCATTGATCTCCCTCCTACAAAATACAATGACTCGACGTTCGGTCTTATCCCACTTTGCTGCAGAAATGGGACGATTCTACCACGGTCAATGGATCCTAGCAAGTCGAGCTCAGCTTTCCAGATGCAGGTGTACAAAATGCCTCCGGATCTCAACATCTCTGCTCTATCACCACCTCAGAACTGGAGAATCAACGGTACACTGAACCCAGATTACAAATGTGGCCCTCCTGTTCGGGTGAGCCCGAGCCAATTTGTTGATCCCAGTGGGTTACCCTCAAACTGGACTGCTTTTGCAAGCTGGCAGGTGGTCTGCAACATCACCCAACCAAAAGATGCGAGTCCTAGATGCTGCGTGTCATTCTCCGCATACTTCAACGACTCAATTGTTCCATGCAAGACTTGTGCTTGCGGATGTTCCAACAACAAAGCGGCTCGAACTTGCAGCGCAACAGCCCCGTCTCTTCTTCTACCCCAGCAAGCTCTTCTGGTTCCATTTGAGAATAGAACTGAGCTCACCCTTGCTTGGGCTTATCTAAAACATCAGCCTGTGCCAAACCCAATGCCTTGTGGAGATAACTGTGGAGTTAGTATCAATTGGCATTTGGCTACAGATTACAGAGGGGGATGGACAGCCAGGGTCACAGTCTTCAACTGGGGTGAAACAGACTTTGTGGACTGGTTTACTGCAATTCAGATGAAAAATGCTGCTCCAGGTTTCGAGAAAGCCTACTCATTCAACGCAACTACACTTGGTATCAACGGGGAGAACAACACTATTTTCATGGAGGGTCTTCCCGGATTAAACTATCTCGTTGCAGAAAGAGACGGGGAGAATCCGTTGAAGAACCCTCGGATTCCTGGGAAACAACAATCTGTTCTTTCCTTCACCAAGAAACTGACTCCTGGGATCAATGTCCCTGGCGGAGATGGCTTCCCAAGCAAAGTGTTCTTCAATGGGGAGGAGTGCTCTCTCCCAACCATATTCCCAATGAGAAGCAGTCAGCAACGGATACACATTTCTGCATTACTCTTGGCATTACCTGTTTTGGCTTTCTTGCTTATGCGGGCGTAACCACACTGAAGCCTCCCGTGGGGTTGGCTATACATTTTCGTGATTCTTCCCTGTTTAACTCGAAAACCGGTCAGTTCTGCAGTTTATGGATGGAGAATCAATCGATTCTTTTATCAACCTGTGATGAGTGTTGGAAAGAAGCTTTATATAGGTGCTATGAATATATGTTACCATTCTTGTATTGTTTCTGATTAGAGTTTTTTCAGTAATCACTAATCAGTATGTATACTATATGTTACACTTTCTCGACCATTGACTGATTCCTAACTTAAATAAGCTCACAAATGACAAGCCAACCGGTTATTTGACCAACTTTGACCAAAACTGAGTAAATGGCAAAATTGGACTGAGTTGTGTGGATTTGTTCGTTGATCGGATCAATACCGTATCTTTATTATTGTGAAGCAACAACGCATAGAAACATATTTACACGAAATGTTCCTAAAAACTCAAAAAGAGGAGCAAAACATAGCTAATTGTCTGGATATTAGACGATCAAGAACCCTATATTGTCTCAGTCTTTATGTAAGGCGAGACAGATGTAGAAACAAAATAACTCCAAGAAATTGACATTACTCCTAATATTTAAAAAGAAATACAATTATTATTTTCTATAATCTGCTTTTGAATTTCCTGCAGATGATCATCTAAAGATACAACAACATGATCCGTTCTATTTTCTCCTTGGATAATCGTCATTCTATCAAGCTTTTGTACCTCGAAGGAGAAGAAAAACAAAGAATCTTGCAGTCTAGTCTGAGTTTCTGAGCTCAGACTGGAATATTATCGATGGAATATCCGTCAAAATCAAACTCGTTGTCTACCGTTGGAATGCCTTCCTGCATTTATGCAAGGGAATGAACAGAATTGTCAACCTTTTGAATTGCAGAGTACTGATGATGTTCATGGCTGTTACTAGTAATGTGTAATTTTGACTTTTTGGAGTAGGATTCAAACCTGTTTGAGAAGTGCGCTCATGAGATCTTCTTGATTATACTGCTCGTGAAACAATGTAGTTGCAGGAGGACAGGTCATGGTCTCCGCCACTCTTTCTGACTTCACTCTGACTGAACCACCATCCATATAAACGTTGTTCAGATGATTCAGATTCCGGCTAGGTGGTTGCTGGTTCTGGCCCTGGTCGGCCACCACTGTTGCATCTGTTTCCCGCCTTTTTCTCTGTGTAGAAGGCGAAGAGTATGCATCCGAAGTAGAAAAAGCCGCAGAGGCTGCTGCTGCATCCTGATGGGAAAAGACCAATCCGATATTCCGCAGATCCCAATCATTCAATCTGTTGTTGATATTGTTGTTGTGCTGTTGCTGTTGCGGAAAATCGTTGAATATGTCGTAGCTCGGGTTACCAAACCCTGCGGTAGCCATGGTAGCAGCTGATGAACCACCTTTCGCATCCGAGCTGCTGACCTCTTCTTGGTAAGAAGCTGACACTGGAATTGATATCCCTGGGGCACTTGCCAATGGGAAGCTGTTTTGAGGTAGATCTGCAGAGAAGTTGTTGAAGACTGAGTGGGTAGCTGGTGACATTCTGTTGTTAGTCTCCGGGATACTGGTTCTAACTGCTACCGCACCAGTGAGATCGCTTCTCCTTGAAACACTGCTTGACAACATCGGCTGTTGCCCGAGAGATGGTAGCATTGATGGCCCTCCTCGGGGTAGCTGGTCGGTTACAGGCAACATCATTCCACTGCTCTGAACATTCTGTCCTGGACGCACACCAGCGATTTGTTGCTGTACGCGCATGTGACTACCTGCAAATTGTTTAGGTTCCATACCTGTTGGGACACCATGAAGCAAATTCATCTGCTTATTAACATTGTTTATCGTCTGTCCGTGGCCATCTCCAAATCTTATCTTCGGATTTTCAAAGTTGAAGATGCTCCTTTGATCTACCAGGGGAGAAACCGACATCCCCGGTTTAGTGAGTGAAGGCCGCCCAAGGCCAGCTGCTTGAAGCTGTGCGAGGCTCTGTGCAGGGAGCTGACCCGCAACAGCTAGAGCTTGAAGATCGAATCCATTCAATGAAGAAAGAGGACCATAACTCGGATCTTGACCAGTCATAAACGAATGGTTCATATTTCCCTGGTGCTGTGACACTCCTCCAAGCCGTCTTAGATATATCCGGTACTTCTGCAATATGACAATGTCCCCAGTGTTAGAAAACATCAACAGCGGAAAATGTAATACTATTCAATCAATCACATATCTACCTGTAGGTGACTGGCTACATTTTCTCGCGTCAGCCCAGGTACATTCATCATCTCTAAGATCTTCTTGGGAACCGCTTCTGCATTAGATACCGAAGAATGGTAAGATTAGATAGGAAAACTAACATAATAACACACACAAATGAATAAGCAAACAATATTTTCACTTACTATCAACGCCGAGCTGATTCACAGCAGCGACAAACTGCTGATGCAATTCAACCGACCAAACCACTCGTGGTTTCTTCAAACTCGAGGTGTCCTCTTTGTCATCCCCTTGATCATCTACTTCCTCTTCCTTCCGCTTCCTCGAGCTCCTCCAGTTCCCTTCATTAACCGAAGAGGAATTGTTATCAGCATCCTCTCTCTGCTGCTGCCTGTCCCTGTCGCCGCCAGTATCTTCAAGACTTCCTCCCGAATGTTCCGAAACATTCCACTCGTTCCGCTTCTTCCGCACAACATGCTGCCATATATTCTTCAAAGCCTCAATACGTACCGGCTTGATGAGGTAATCGACAGCACCGTGAGTCACTCCTTTCAACACAACACTCTTCGAATCATCCGCAGACATCACTAAAAAAATCCAAAGATCTCAAACATTCAGATCTCAACAGAACAGTTAAGAGTAAAATAAAAAGCGAGAGAGACAGGATCAAAAGAAACGTACTGATAACAGGTAAATCCATCTCTAAACCGACGTGCTCAAGGAGCTTGAAACCATCCATGTCAGGCATATGAACATCACTGATGACAATATCAAAACCATTCTTGTTCTTCCGGAGTAAAGACAATGCGATCTCTGCTCTGTTACACTTAGTTACTGTAATAACAGAATCAGAGCAAAACCCGGAAAAAACTTAGTCAAAATCAAAAACGAAATTATGAAAAAAACATAAACACAGAACCAATCAAAACAAAATACCAGAATCTCAAACTAAATCAGAAGGATATCTCGAATCTTTTTAATAAAATTTGAAGAATTTGTATCACACTCCTCTTGAAACAAACTGAATCACACTCTTCTTGAAACAAAACCAAAGGATCTATAGAAAAAGAAAACCTCACAAAACAGAATCTTTAAACAATGATATAAGAACAGAGCAGAGAACTAAGCTATATATATGCGTATGTATCTGAATCTAACAGTGATTCATTCATTCAACAGTCAATGAAATTTCTAGTCTAGTCAAATTCCAATAGCTTTTTTTCTATATCTGTAAGAGTCAACCAAGAAACCAAAATTAATCACAAAAAATTAACGAAAGAATTTATCAAATTTGGTAACTTTGAAATGAATAAACATAAATATCAGATTTTTTTATTTTTTTGTGTCATATCATTTACCTCTGTAGAGACAAGTCCTGAGCATCCTCTCTAAGATCATGAGACAAGTCGGATCATCATCAACAACAAGAACTCGAAGACCCGCCGGAAACGGGTCAGAGTTGGAACCCGAATCGGGTCCTCTTCCGTGACCCGGATTTATCATTCTCTCTCTCTCTCTCTTCTCTCTCGTCCAAGAGAACCAACGATCAAAGAGATACAACAAAGTTCTGAAACAGAGAGAATATATGCCTTCTTTACTAAAAAAAAAAAAAAATTGACGTGGGTTTGATTCGAAGAATTGGGGATAACACCAAAAACCAAAATCAAAAAGAAAAAAAGTTACGAAATTTGATACCAAGATGATCAGATTTTGATTATTATTACAAAAAAAAAAAAAAAAAAAAAAAATTTAGTGGAAAGGTTTGTAATATGCTTGAGATGTGAGAGTTGAACAAGGCATGGCTCTTTCTCTCAGCTTGAAGCTCGCGATTCCTCTGTTACAGTTTTTTTTTTTCTTTAGTAAGTTCTGCAATTTTATTAAATATAAAAATGATATTAAAATATGAAAATGTTTATAACAGTGGTAAGAAGTATTTAGTTGTTATATAGTTTATAGTTTTTATACAAAGGAGGAGGTGCAGAGAGATGTCCTTTATGTTATAGACATCTCCAGATAGAGACCAAGTACTTTATCATGTGTTCTTTTGAATCCTCCTTTTTTCTCAATTGCTATTTTACCAAAACCTCTTCTTCCTAAAAGAAAAAACAACTATGGCCACTTTTAAACCCTTATATTATTGGTACACAATTCATTGGCACAACATTTTTGTTTTTTTCTACTTATGATCTATGCTTTTGCTTAGATTTCCTTTCTATTTTAAATCTGTTTTTTTCATATATTAGAAAATAGTTAAGAGAAATATTTGAATTTTGTTTAAATGTATAGTTGTTATATGACGGCGTCTCGCTGAAATATCTATTGTATTTTTCTCCTTCTTTAATTTACCATTTCTTATTAATATACTATCATTATGTGATTACTAAAAACTTTTGGACATTGTAAATGAATGTTACCGTGGTAAACAAATTTCTTTCTAATTAGACAACCAATAATATTTGTTATTTTGTAGATTAGTTTTTTTTGGTGAACATTTTGTAGAATAGTTGATAATTGTTTTGAGAAATTACAATATTCTTTCGAAAATAGTTGTTTAAAATAAATTGTAATTTTTTAATTGTTTATGTATTGCATGGAGATATTAACTATACCTTTTTTTTTATAAAGCTTTATGTAGATTTTTCTTGTGTATTATGTGAAGAACACATACATTAGCAAATATTTGTTGCAAGAAATTTTTACAGATCGTGTACTTTTTCAATGAAAATGAGAGTGATAAATAAATGCATTCAGATGAAATTTTACTAACAATACAAATATTGAAGTAAAAATGAAAATCAAACAAATGGGTTGTTTTTGAAAGATATCAAACTATGTGGGGTTGATCTTATAATATATTAAACTACTGGGTACGGAACTTCTAATAATTGAGACACAACACACACACAAAAATAAATAAATAAAAAACGGGTCCAGAGACCCTTGATGCGTGGATCCAGCTCATACCTGAATACATCATAAAAATTCACTCATTTATATAAAACACAACCTTAACAATTTATACTGTTATTTTTTATGTTCTCAAATATTTTTTTACTTTGTTAATTAATATATCGATTATTATCTTAATATTTTGTTTAAAGAAAAAAGAAACCCTGAAAGAAGGACATCATTACAAAATTATCCTCCCAAAAATTTGGGTCTATTTCGAGTTTATTTGGAAAGTATTAAAGTATAAAGTATAAAACATGCCTTCTATATCTTGATGAGTCCATGACCTACATGTAATTAAACTAATGGGCTAAATACATACAATATAATTATAATATATGCTTTCATAATTAAATAGAATGATAATACGTACAACAAAGCACATTCAACCATATGATTAAGGCAACGCATTTTCTAACAACACTATGATGTATACATAGTTGTATATACACACAATCACAACTGTTTTATTTGTGTATGTTGTACCATGTGTTTATTCGCTCGTAAACTTAATTTGTTAAAACGAAAATATTAGTATAACCCAATATCCGTTAATTGTATAGCAAAATCTAAAGTATAGGAGATAAAATATCTAGATCGTTCACGGAACCATTTTCACAAAACTTGTCCCATTCAACAGTAGAGAAAAATTCTAATACTTAGGTAAAAGGTAATTCTTTAACTAAGTGACTTTGGTTCAAGGTCACTACAAACTCCTCCTAAGAGACTTTACTAAAGCCATATGATGTCAACTCTTCCATGATGGTTCGGATAACATTTTGAGATATGACACCAGAGCCGGGGCCATGTGATAACATTTTGAGTAACTGAACGTTAAGGCATTATATTTTATTTGTAAAAGAATATGTTGTGTTCGAATGTTTAGTTAGTGGTCAAATGTTACCCAACAAAACTTGGTTTATTAACCAAGTGGTCTTGGTCTAATAGTTTTCATTTGAGTGAAAAGTTACATGATGATTTAGGTTAGGGATCGATTCCTCTCAAACGCGAAATTACTAGATATTTTTATTTGGTCAAAGGTTTTCACCCGGTTTTTCTGTATCCGGCCTAAGGACCGAACTTTCTGATAATAAAAACAAAAAACCTGATTTATTCTTTTCATTTTGCTAACTTTTATCATGGTTAAGGAAGCATAAGACAAACGAAAAGAAAAAGGAAGCAAAACAAAAAAAGAGGTTCACAATCACAGTTGCATTGCCACTTTGCATGGTCGAAACATATAATAATGGAAAATGATAAAACCTTAAGAGACACATATGACATTTTGTGTAAACGAACGTATTAAGGTGTCCAATAGTATTGGGAAAAGTGGCATCAACGCACTTTGGTAAGTGATATTTTGGTGGATCTCCTCTTCCTCCTTATGTTTTGCTTTCCACTACAACATGACTTACTCATCAACTCCTTTTTATGTCTCATGTAAAATATTTACTTCACATTTTGTTTTTTTATAAGGTATCCCTTACTTATTGGAATACAACCTGGTACGATAAAACGAACCATTACTAATGTTTAAAATTGTATGTAACAAAAGCAAAGAAAATGTTTAAATTATATAATCCTTTCAAAATAGATTATTTATAAGTTACAAAAGATAAAGTTAAACCACTTTGATTAATCGTAAGATGTAATTTTATACCATATCCATAACACGTATACAAAAGTTCTTGAATTCTATATATAAACAGATGAGCTTAGGACGATATAGGTTACAACATCTTGCATTGTTAATGACTTTGTCGTATATATCGTATCAAAGTTATATATTAAGATTATGTTTTATTTCTGATTGTTATTGATAAAATTAATATACTACTTTTTTTTGGTCTTGATTACAATGATAATACTTAAATTTATGTTAATATGTTTGGTCTTAACTTTATTTAAATTTGGTCTTAATTTTTTTATAATATGTTTTATTCATATAAAATGAAAGGCTCGATTTCTAAAGTTGACCAGAAAAAAAATTAAGAATCTCATAAACATTGTAAAACTGTAAAATCTTGAATTGTAGGTAAAGTGGAATACTCTGCAAAACTAAAGTTGGAATCATTCTATGCAATGGCATAGATACTTTATCTAGTTTATTGGAATATTCTCTCCATGCTCGGCTATCAAAATCTTAGTTACGTTTTTTGTTATATTTTAATTGTTATCGTTATGATCTGCGTAATGATATTTTTCTGTATCAAAATATGTTTTCTTAATTTATATCAGAAATATTTTTGCAAGTTTTTATACAAATTTTAATGTATTTTATTATTTTTAACCATTTATACTGCTGATTTTATTTATGATTGATTAAATTTGAACTAAGCAAATAATTTATTTTAGAAAAAACAAATGATTTTAAATATGCATGATTTCACTTTAAACATTTTATATTTAGAAACAGAGAGGATACGTAGTAGTTCTAATAATTTAGTTTTATCAATTGGTCAAATATTAAATGCAATTTAAGTCTGATCTTAAAGTTGTTTAAAAAGAAGAAAAAAACCACAAAGTTAGTGACCACGAAATTAATGAGTAGTTGGGTTATAGAGTCAAGTTTTGCGGAGGAGCTTCCCTGTGATGCAACGTGTCGAGTCGATGGTATTGAAGTGGATAAGAACTTACTACTATATACTTAATATTATTCAAGTGTCTCCCATGTGAAATCCCATCCACCTCCTCCACATATTGAAACCCATCTTTGACCCTCCAAACACTTTTCTTGGATTTTGACGTTATTTTTTTGCAAGACCATTCGGTATTCTCCCTCGCAAATATATCAGCTCCGTCGTAAAGAGAATTTGATTTGTTTTTGATAAATTTGTAATTTGGTTATCGTCTTGTTAACAAAAAGAAAACTAGACCCTCAAGTCCTCAACTTTCTCTATAATACATCTTATTTTTAGATATTATTTGAGTTGAGTCTTCGTTATTCTTAAATACATTCACGTGAAAATGAGCGTTTTAAAACGTGTTGTAGAATTGTTGGATTCGAACTATACTTTCTTCATGCATCTACTACTATGCATAGTAATTGATTTGGTCCACCTTGTGTGTATACAAATGTAAAATTTGACAAACGAGAGTAATAATACTAGTAAACAACAACTTGTATATGTGTGTTTTTTTTCCTTGTTTTGGGGTAGAGTTGGGTTAATCAGGAGGATGAGGAAGAGGTGCGGTAATCAAGCAGTTTATCTCTAACTGTGCTGTTTTTTGTTCCTTCACTTTAAATTTAGACTTTTACATTGAAGCTTGTTGACTATATGACAATATTATTTACATCTACCAGGAAACCGCTATGTCAAACGTTTGGTATGAAATATTGTCGGTTTTGCATCTAATGGCAATGCTACAAATGTCACAAGCCAATTTACTGCTTCTTCCCAGAGGTTCCAGTGATGGTTATCATCCAAAAGTATCAGAAGGTAAGACCTGCAATTTGCTTGTGATAAGCTTGTTTCTTATTGTTAAATACTTAAAATATAATGGTAACTGGTAAGGTCCCTCAGGCTTAATGATATGCTTTCTTCAATGTTTTATAGAAAACAGGCGAGCTTCAATTGATATCTTCTTAAAGGCAGCTGGATACCTTGACTGTGCTGTTAAGCATGTTTTCCCTCAGTTTTCAGCTGAGCTAAGGTTCATATTTAACTTAGTTTCTACTGTCAA